CAATTTAACAGAAAATATATATGGCAAGCAGAGGTGGATGGGAAAAAGTGGTGGGGGAGAGGGAGGAAATGTCACAATGTTTTTTTTTCTCACCCCCTCCCCTTAAATTCAAAATTTATACGATTTTGAAAATTTGAAATTTTGAAATGTAAAAAATCTCAACTAGCTCTGTTGGCTAGGACTTGAGATAACTAGACCATGAAGTAGCAGGTTATGGTAAAGCATAATTTCTCAGACTTTGTCCTAATGTTTTTTTAATCCATTCTGGCTTCACCTGTGAAAACTTTTTTTATAACAAGGAGACAGGAGAAATCTTATCTATACATATTTTTAAACAAGTGGCTATATAGGGTTGTCTGCTAATGTTTCTGTCTGATTGCTGATTCCTGATTGGAAATAACCAAAATCAGAACTGTTTCTAGGACAGTCATGATTTAACAGATAGCTCTGATTTTGGTAATTCCTTAGTTAATTTTTTTTTTAAAGAAAGTAAAGCTAGTTCCTTTACTATTTTTTTTCTGAACATACTCACTGATCTTCCCTTGGAAAAGATGAGCGTTCTCTCAGAGTGAATAAAATTCATTCTTATGCAGAGAGCCAACACAAAGTCTATGGCACACTTTTGTCCCACTTAAGGACTATTTTGAGAGATTTATTGGGATGTTAAGAGGTGCACAAGGCTTGTGCTCACTCTGTACAGGAGTGAATTTTGACTAAGGTGAGAAGCATTGTCTCAGTATATTCCCATATAATTCTGGAAGTACAAGATGCTGTTTTAATAATGAGCACTGTCTAGTAGAAATAAGAAAAGACCACATTAAGGCATTTTCTCATTTCCCCACTTCTTCCTTATTACCTTTTGCTGACACTATTTATTTTGGAAAGCAATAGATATCAATTGTTTTGTCTTAAATACATTAAAATATGGTTTTAAAATGTCAGACATAAGTAGCTTCCAACTATTCATGACACCGATTGAGATAAAACTGTGTTTATTACCCTTCCAAAGCAAGGATTACTTTAAAACGGTTCTACATCTATTGTCATAGCTCCTTCATGTGTTTTGACATTAATCCCATAAAATTATTTGATTCAGTATCTGTTAGGAATCTTAACCATTGGAGGAACTTTAATAATAATGGGAGGCAAAAAGCAAGCTCAGAAGTTATAAAACTCAGGTAGCTTCAGATGTGTATACTGGTCTTTGGTCTTCTGAAAGAGTTGGAAGCTATCTTACTGGTAACACTTTTAACTGTTAATGATTTCTAAACAAATATAAATACTGGTTTCTTGCTATCACACAATTAATTCCTTCATAGGCAATAACATACATGCAATCAATACATTAATTTATGGGGAGAAGACACAGAAGGACTAGTTTTCCAAGAAAATGTTCTGTCATCCAGTTAAATATGTGGCTTAGCTAGTACTGGACTGAGTTTGCAGTCCTATTCCACCACTCAAATTAGCTGGCTTTCAGATTATTTTTTTTTAATTTAAGTGTATAGTCTAGAGAACATTTCACACTTTTGGGGATAGCAGTAGTACACACAAAATTATACATTTTAGTCTAGTAAAGAATCATCAGCTCCCAAAAGTAGCTGTGTTTGCTCAGAAAAGCTAACAATCAGGTATGCTTGGACCACAATTGTTAATCGCTTGAAGATCTATTCTGGTTTAGTCAGACCCTTGCCAGCTTTGATTTCTATTATTTCATGCAAATATTAATATTGGGTATCCTTGGCACAGATATAATAGGGTGTCAAACAGATGAGCGATCAAAACCTGTCAGGCCTTATGGTGTCATAACTTCTGACAGAAAAATAATGGAAGACATTTTGACTCCATGATTTCTGAAATGTTAGAAACTTTATGGAATCATGAAAGAATGACACAAAGACATACTAAGAATTTGCTACCATTTAAAATCACTTAAGCCCAGATCCTGCGCAGACTGGGAAATCCCCCCACTGAGACTACACAGAATACATAGAATTAAGCACTTCAATCCTTGAAGGATTGGGGCTTAGGTTTACTTGTTTCGGACTTACAATTTAAATCCTCTTGTCCCTAAGGCCAGTTTCTGAATGACATTCTCTCTTGTGTGGGTAAGATATATTCAACATTAGTAAGGGTGTCGGAATATGGCGCTATGGTCTAAATTCTGTGTTGTTTCATAGCCATTGCAACCCCATTAACTTCAGTAATGTTGCATGGGATGTAAATCAGTGAAGAACTGGGCCTGAACTCCTTCATGCAAAAGGGAAAGAAAGAGGATGAGATAAAGCTTATATAAGGCATGATCATCCATTGTGACATGATATGTACTGTAGTTGGTGCTGATGGAAATAGAGAAGGTAAATGGCACAAAGGTCTCTTTCTGATGCAATTAGATTAGATATTGCTCAAGGCTATATCAACAAACACAGAATATACATGCCATATGCGTACGGTATGTCTTATACTTAATTTATACTCTTTAATAATCAGTAAAAAAGTATTAATTATACATATAAAATATAATAATTCCCTTTATAGAAAAAAATATGTAGATTTTGTTTGTTGTGATTTTTTTACATTATTATTATTATTAATTTGAAAATAAAAAGTCTCACTAAAATAGCAATCTGGAGCATTAGAAATATCTCCTCCTTTGCAGGACCTTTATGCAAAGAAAACTACTCTTCAAATTCTATGAAGAAAATAAGTTGAAGTAGCAAAATGCCCCAAGACAATAGTCCTTTTATCTCTCTGTCTTTATAACTGATTGTGGACTTCAGAAATGGTGCTTGAGTAATAAATGAAGAATCAAAGGATGGTTACCTCCAATACAATCAATATGTGTAATAACAATCAATAAAGAGTGGGAAGTTAAAAGCTTTTTTCTCTCCTCCTTGTTTAAAATTTACAAACTCAGTTATTGATAAGTTCAGGTAGATTGTGTTTTGGCAATTTCAATGCACACACAATTCTAATAGCTCATACATTTGTTAAGATTACACCATTTTAACAGTGTGCAGTATACAGGTACTACAGACTCTGTATCCTTATCCAGTGTGTATTCCATGTTACAATAATAACTTTCCACTCTCAGTTATACACTTTCTAGCTAGTTTTTTAAAAACTAGAAAATAATGCTCTATAAAGTCCAATCCAATGCCCAATCTAATTCAAGTCAACAGGACAAAGACTCATTAACTTCAATATCTGTCCAATCAGAACTTTAGAACTTTGCCACAGCTCAGTACTATTTGATGTACATTTCAGTGAATGAACTTTTCAAGTTTGCTATTTAAAATACAAAAAAGAATATAATGTGGTTAATCTGCAAATGTCAAATCCAAACCCTGCACACCAAGGGCCAAAGATACCATATTCATTAGTGCATCCAGAGGGAACACTCATATATATAAATTGAGCAGGATTTCACTCCCAGTTTGCCATGGTCACAGTACACACAAAGCACCAGTTACAAGCACCTAAAACATCCTACAATATGATAGGGTGAAGAGCCACCTTTAATTTTCCATGCATTGATATTTTTGATTGGGACCCAAGCTTACTCAAAAAAATGAAATAAAAATAAAAATTAAAAAAAAGATCATATATTTGGAGCAGTAGCTTATGCATCATTGTCCCTGACCATTTAAGAAAAATCCCTTGATTTCAATAAATACAAACATGAAAGCACTTATGTTTTTAAGCTGTTTTGAAGATGATGGGCCAGAAACTAATTTTCAAAATATAAAACAAAGCAAACATTTAAACTTGTACAAAAAAGAATGATAAAAGCAACAAAGGAAAGGAAGAGCAGGCAACTTAAAAACCCTTTTTTCAGTCTTTTGCTTGTAGGTATATGTATTTAAGGGGAATTCCTGCTTTACTATGAGACCATCTCTGGTTTTGGTATCTGCCAATTTTTAGACCAGACTTGAACTCTTTGTTACAGCTCTGATCCTATGAGTTTTAATTCTGAATCACAATATTCATACTTTGGAAGAACTCTCCCTTAGTACATATTTGTTACCATTTCTTTAAAAATTAGGGGAACCTTTGAAATCTAGTAAACTGAATTTGTGGCAAGATGAAATATAGTATTTCTTTATGGGGCCAAATTTTACTCTTACTTACACTATCATGTTTAACTCAGAGCAGAATTTGACTCCCTATCTGATAGCTTCTGTAGATCTTCTTTTAGGTCGTGGTTCAACAAGGCATCTAAATACATGCGTTACTGTGAGCATATGCTTAAGTCTCATTGGCTTCAAAATTTAAAGTTAAACCCATGTGTAAGTGTTTTGCTGAACTGGGTCTCCCTGGGGACTATCCAGCCCTTGTAGGGTGATAGACACAATAATTAGTGCTGTCAAGTGATTAAGAAAATTAATCATGATTAATTGCACTGTTAAACAATAATAGAATACCATTTATTTAAATATTTTGAATGTTTTCTACATTTTCAAATATATTGATTTCAATTAGAACACAAAATATAAAATATAGAGTGCTCACTTTATATTTATTTTTTATTACAAATATTTGCTCTAATTCTAAGATGCGGAAACTACAGAACCTGAACCACCAAAAAAGAAAATCAACCTTCTACTGGTGGCATCTGACTCAGAAGATGGAAATGCGTTGAATATGCGTTGGTCTGCACTGCTTCTGGATTGTTATCAAGCAGAACCCATCATTAGTATCTTCTGCAAATGTAAACAAACTTGTTTGTCTGAGCGATTGGCTGAATAAGGAGGACTGAGTGGACTTGTAGGCTCTAAATTTTACATTGTTTTATTTTTGACTGCAGTTTTTTTGTATATAATTCTACATTTGTAAGTTCAACTTTCATGATAAAGAGATTGCACTACAACACTTGTACTACGTGAATTGAAAAATACTTGTTATTTTTATAGTGCAAATACTTGTAGTCAAAAGTAAATATAAAGTGACCACTGTACATTTTGTATTCTGTTTTGTAATTAAAATCAATATATTTGAAATGCAGAAAACATCCAAAATATTTAAATAGTATTCTATTATTAACAGTGCGATTAATTGCACGATTAATTGTGAATCATTTTTTGAATCACTCGATTAATCACGATTAATGTTTTTAATTGCTTAACAGCCCTAATAAATTTCAATTGGTATTCTATTGTTTAACAGTGTGATTAATCATTTTGGGCCAGATTCTCAGCTGATGTAAGTTGGCATCACTCCAATGGACTTCAATGAGCTAGATTAATATACATCAATTGAGAGTCTGGCCACCTATCTAAGATTTTTCCCTAACTGAGGGCCAGATTCTGACAGCCTTACTCATTTTGAATACTACCTTATCCATGAATAGACTCATTGAACTTAATGGGACTATTCAAGAAGGGAATACTGAACATGAATTAGGATACCAGAGTATAGCCCTATTGAATTATAAAGAGTTTTTCGATGGTTAATAACTTTTAAGCAATGTGAAAATGTGTGTCTATATTCACCACATTTCCCACTTCAGATTTATGGGACCCCTCTACTAATAGGGGGCAGGGAGGAGGCTGTTGAGTTGTTTTGAAGAAAACCTATTCAGAAGCAAGAAATCTAGGACACACAATGGCCATATTTTGTAATTCTGTTCAATAGTAGTATGCTTAAGAGATGTCAATTTCAAACCATTTAATTAGCTATTTTCCCAGTTTGGTGAAGTGTAACAACCCGTGTGAATTTTCACACCTAACTAAACTTGATCTTTACAGGGCAGGTGTAAATTTCAATTATCTTATGAGTACATCAATGAGTTTAGAGTTTCTTCCATGGAGGATTATTATTTGGTTTCCCAGCTGAACAACAGATGTAATTTTATTAGCACAAACTATATTCTACACTGACTTACACCCCTTCTAAGCAACTTGGGTTCAATGGGATGTATGGAACAAAAATATGAGCTAGTATTTTAGTAGTGTAAGTGAAACTTTATGAAGTCTTTTCTGCAGCCTGCATAATTAAAATGTCAGAACTCAGAGAAAATTTTGTTCCATTCACTATAGAGGGGGAAACACTTAGATTAGAGAAAAATACAATTCATATTACAGTGACCTGTCTATATCTTCTTTATCTTTTTCCTCTTGAAACAATAGAACTTTCAATAAGTGCTGAAATGATATTCTTAACAAATAATACACTAGTCTATCATAAGGTTAGTATTAATGTCTCTCTATTCAAACATGCTGAAACTGAATAGAACAGGTAACAAATAACAGTCACACATCCTTTGCTGAGTACAAGATAGCATCTCTAACATGAGTTGAAGATTTCTCACCATTTCAGATCTTCATCTATTATTCAATCAGACACTCCATCAGTTTTCAATACATTGCTCTTCCATTGTTTCTGCTTTTGAGGGTGTTAAACTAACACTTTCTTTTAAGAAAGGCATTGCCTCTTTCTTCAACAGAAATCCTGCAGTGTGTTTCCAATACATTTCAAAGGGTGCATTTTCTGATTGCAAAATGTAGTTGGATTTGGGGGCAATAAGGCCAGACTTCTGTTAGTTTAAAAAGGTTTCATTTTGAAATATGTATCTTAGGTACTGATCCTGTAGTTCACTGAGTGGAGGTAGCCTGCTGCACCCACATGGAGCCCTGCTGAAGTGAACAGGGCATTGCCCACACATATGAAATTGCAGGATTGGAGCTTTCATCAACAATAAGGTACATCACTCAGGGAATTCGTTCCTTAAATCCAGCTGTATCCAAGTGACATTTGAAGAAGGGAATCAAAACCAATGATGCTCCATCCAGGGGCATAAATCATAATTTGCTCTCATATATATTTTTATTGAAAACACACAGCAAAGATTACAGCCATAGAAAGTTGTGTAAATGAGACAATTCCATCAACTTTGCTTTTTTTTTAGAAAAAAGACTTCTTATGTGAATACTAATTTTTCCTTAATGCCCTAACTGGGGGGAAATAAATGGCATATGCCTTCAGCTTTTTTTTTTCTTCAGTTCAATAGACAGAAGTTGAAATATTGCTTTATTCCGACTCAACACACAACAGCACTAGACCAATCGGTTGTTCTATTTTGGAAACTCACTCTTGAGAATGGTGAACTGGAAAGTCTGGGGCACATCTAATAACTTTAGCAATTACCTTGCTGTAAAGGGAGTACGTATCTGAATACATTTTGTGTATACTGTAGATTTTGTTAATAAATCAACCAGTCTTCCGGCACTGAATAGGGAAGGCTATTTGGTAATTATTTACTATAGTTCATTAATTTTTTAAACAAACAATTTAAACAGACTGTATTTAAAAATAGTTCATATGTCATTACTGAATTTAGGCCACTGTATTAGTGGCATATCATGTGCTGTGGATACAGGAGAAAACAGAAAAGAAAATATAAGAAAGCAAGTGCTTGGGACGCTGCAATCAGGAAATGATCTTTCTTCTCTAAAACCTTGATTCTCCAAATGGATCCATTTGGTGGAGCCCATGTGCCCTTGCACAGCCTCATTAAAGTCAAGACAGGTTTTTACAAATTCCTGGACCCACGCGTACCAAACCAGCTGCAGGAAAGGGGCCTTAAAAGTTCACAAGCAGAAGTCATGCTTAATTAAAAAGACAGGAAAAACTGAATGTGAAAACAAATTAGGACAGCATGAACAAATATATGCTGAATATTGATCATATTGTATCTCCCCAACTGATCTCTGAACAAACCATACTAAAAATATATTTTAAAAGTGCTCTTTTGGAGTGCTCAAAAATGTCTTCAAAGTATAACATTTTCAAAATACTGTGATTTTTGTGACAAAATAATGTGGTTTAAGTTCCCAAAGGTAGAAAATTCATACCACACACACACACACACACTACGTTTTTCTTCTTCTTTTCCTTTCTCACTGAAAATCCAAACTTAAAAAGCACAGTTCACAATGAGATGGGGCTGCGCAGTGGTTCTGAGCAACACCCGATCATTCCATCTCCTGCTCTGATGCCCTGATTTAACAAGATACTTAAGCACATGCTAACTTAAAGGTCATGGGTTGTCCCACTGACTTCACTAAGACTACTCATGTACTTAAAGGAAGCCACATGCTTAAGCATCTGGCTGAATCAGGGCTTTACAGTTGCTTCAGATTTTAGGTGGCTTGGAACCATACTTCAGAATTTAGATAGGAAAGATTGACCTTGTGTGTATGTTGGTTTGTTTTAAAATTATGAATCTGGGACCAAGCTACTGGTAGAATGGAGGGCTAATTATGGGCCTGTATTATTTGAGGCTACTCAAGAAGAACTTGCTCACCAGAGAATGAATCCCTGGTGGACAGTTCAACACAGCTCTACTTTGAAACCAAAGAGTCTAAGAATGAATTTGGCCTTTTTGAAAAATATGCATATCCCAAGCCTTCTAATAGCCAAACAGGACAGTTCTAAAACATACTGTAACTGCAACTGAATGTGTAACTCTGCAAAAGAAAAACACAACACCCCCCCCCTCCAAAAAAAAAACCCAACCAAAAAAGCTTTAGATGTATGCTTTATCCCTCCTGGAACTTTTCTTTCCCTTAAAAAAATATTTTGTTAAAAAACACTATGATATGAGGGCGATCGACTATTTGGTTTCTTCTAAGTAGATGCTTTTAAATTAATGCATATAAATAATTTGTATTTAATTTCCTTCCTTTCCTGTTTAGCAAAGCTTTGAGTGCACAGATCCTTTTCTCCCCACCCCCACTCTCCTCAAAGTCACTTGGTCAATGCCGAGTCTCTGTGTGTTTCACTTTTTAAGATAAATTTTGCCTCTCGTTCCGATTTTGCCATGGGACTCATGGGCAGAAACGCTGTGTTTTCACTTGCACTGTTCTCTGATTCTGTGCTTGCCAGCTCATAGTCCTCTGACCTCCTTGCATCAGTCAGAATTCGAATCTGTTCCTGGACAGTTTCTAGCAATATTTTCACTTCCTGTTGTTCTGCTATAAGACAATTGCTGACTGGGGCACTGACATTGACAAGTTCAGCTGAATAGGAGTTTTTGCACCATTTGATGCCTGTTACTTCAGAAACATTTTGCATTTGCATGCAGGCTTCATCCAAGCCCACCGACGGGATGATGGGAACTGAGTTGGCCCTTGATGCGGAATATCCAACCAAGTCCTTCTGATCCACATTATTAAAATAGGGGGTGGTCTCTCGTGAAGGCAGTTGCATATTTATTGAAGTATTCTGAGGAGTTTTTAAACCAGTGGATGAATACCTAAAATAATAATAAAAAAAGAATTAGCTTTTTCATTTTGCATGAGACAGCCAGACATGAGAGGTTAATGAAAGCAATGGAAACATCTGCTGAAAAAGTATCTTCCTGAAGCAAGGAGTAGTCACAAGTGGGGTGGTGTAGTGGATAGAGAACTTGACTGGAATTCAGCAGAGCTGCTTTCTATACCCTCCTCTGCCACTGGCCTGCTTGGTGACTTTGGGCAAGTTACTTCCCTATCTTCCTCAGTTTCCCCAGGTATAAAATGAGGATAATGTTACTTACCTCCTTTGTAAAGTGCTTTGAGAGCTAAGTATTACTATTTACTTATAATAAAATGTGCAGATGTATAATTACATTCCTAATCTGGCAAGCGGATTCCCACCTTCCTCAAGCATCAATATTTTTAAACGTGGATATTTTGGTATGAATTAGAATTTGGTAGTGTTCTGAATGTGCAAAGAAATTAACTTCAATAAACACATTCTGAGTCCAATCCTGCACTCCATACCCAGGTGTTTTTATGATCTGCACTCCCATTGACATCAGTGGGAGTTGCAGGTGCTCAGTACTTCTGAAAATCAGATCACTTATTCAAGCACCCAAGTTTCTAAAGTTGGTCCTTTTTTTGGTCATATATGGCACGACGCTGGTGATACCGTACTGGGTTTGGAGAGAAATATTCCTCTGTTAAAAATGAGACGTCCCAGATCCTACATTAATTAAACTTTTGATGTAATTGCATCAATTCTGCTGTCATTTTTGTGAAATTTCACCAAAATTTCCATTTTGTTTCTAAGTTGGATACAGTTGTGCTGATGAAAACTGACTTTCAAGGTACATCTATGCTGCACAAACCTCACAGCAGCAGGCAGCGTACGTACACTGCACACACCCCTAGCATGGGTATAAATAGCAATGTAGGGGGTGAGGTACTGCTTAGGCGAGTGAAGACACACCTGAACCCTGAGAGTATGTATCCTATACATCTGTCTACACACCCAAGTAGTGCTTCCCCCGTCTACAATGCTATTTTTAGTAGTGCCCTGCTGTCTCCCCGTTCCTGAAGCCTTTCCCCATCACTTCCCCCCTGCCAAAGCCGTCCATGGCACATGTACCTACACACCACAGCATTGATGCACCTTGCTTTTCACTGTTGTGTGTAGCTATAAATACCCTACATGCCACCAGTAGAGTGCTGTGTAAATATAGCTTCAATTGCAGCAAATACTTGAAAAACATCACTGAAAATATGTGCATTTTGAATCACTTTGGAAACTTAGCGACATGCCAAAATTCAGCAGCTCTCTTTTTAATAAGAAACATTAATACAACTCTGCTTGTACAATAAGTTAATATTCCTATTAGCCATGATTGTCAGGGACTCTGGGTTTGATTCTGATCTCAGTTACAACATGGCAAATCAAGAGTAACTAAAGTGAGATCAGAGAAAGTGAGATCAGACTCAGGACCCACATCTTTATTGAAAGTTCATTTTCATTTGTCACATTATCACATCACTATTTAAATATACAAGATAAAGGCAAAATCTTACATGCTTTATACAAGAGTAAGGAAAGCAAGATTTGGTCCTAATGTAATTTAATCTTACTAGGTTTCTGAGTTCCCACTTCAAGGTCCAGATTCAGCTAGGTACTGAAGTAAAAAAGTCACCATCTTGACTTGAATAGGACTACTCCATGTACTTAAGTAACTCATGTCACTTGGGCTTAAGTACATCATTTGGTATGAGTAGTTAGAGAACTAATAAAAAAGAAGAACAGATTCCCTAAAGCACATGTTCACTAGTGTTCCATTGAATGTAGTTAACTTGATTATTGCACATTGATTTTTGTATACACAATTCAGCATATCCACCTTCGGCATGTGTTATTGCAGTGGTCCTGCAATTCTACCCTTTCTCTACACTAACATCACACTGAATTGATTTAACAATAGTGCTTTCTGGTCTGTATCCCAAAGATTCCTGCCCAATCCCAGCAGCAGTGCATTCTGGGTGATTTTGAAAGGCCTTTTGAGATACCTTATGTATGCCAGGGAATTATGGGAGAAAGGACCAAACTCTGATGCTGCTTGAAGAAATGAGGTATCTTTTGTGTTTCACAGTGGAAGTATTAAAGAAAGTTTTGCAAAACAACTTTTGGGAAAATGATAAAGAAATACGTAAAAACAGAATGAAATTAGACATCTTCCAAGTCCATTTATCAAAATCACTTGTAGGTCACATTTCAAAGAATCAATATTAAATATTGATCAAAGAAATACATCTGTAGAGAGGACATCTTAATAAATAAATAAAAACAAAACAAAACAGTGCAGACCTGTTGGCTTGTGCCCACTCTTGTTTCCTTTGCATTTGTTTACCATATAACTTTCAAATCACTATAGCCGGAGTGGTCTCATCAGTTGCATTATTCATTTGTATTGATAATTCAGCCCCTAAATATACTTTCTGGGCTGCACCCTGCAAATGAAGGGAGTGAATTCTTTTAATGAATTTCACATCTAGTGATGATACACTAGCATAAGCAAGTATGAACTCAGATATTGATATGAAAATGTTAAAATTTGCCAACTCCATAATATGGACTCAAGTCATGATATTTCGACCCCCAAAATGGCAAACATGTTTAATGCTCAGCACATTTCCGTGAATCCTCCTTAAGTACAAGCAGATGTCCTGATCCTGCACTGGAAATTCATAGAATCATAGAATATCAGGGTTGGAAGGGACCTCAGGAGGTCATCTAGTCCAACCCCCTGTTCAAAGCAGGACCAATCCCCAACTAAATCTCCACATCCCTAAATGGCCCCCTCAAGGATTTAACTCACAACCCTGGGTTTAGCAGGCCAATGCTCAAACCACTGAGCTATCCCTCCCTTGTGTCCATGTGGTTTTCAATCAAGGATCAAAGCTGGACTAAAGCATTCAATTTGTGGGTGAGCAGATGCAGGGAAATAGTAGGGAAATAAGATTTGAACAAGTGAGGCTCAACTTTCATTTGTGTAGGAGCTGGATCCTGCTCTTGAAACAGCAAACAAAATTTTACTGATTTTATTGGGAGCAGAACTAGACCCAGAGCGATCACAGAAAATAGGGCATTATTATAAAGATACAGAACGATACGTTTTAAACAACTTTCCCTTAAAGAAAATACTTATTATCTTCCTAAATAAACTCATTTTATATTTACATTTTTGTGTTTCTGGAATGCAACTCCCTTCCTCTCTTCCCCTCCTTTGATTAAACAGAGTCACAAGAAGAAATTAATAAACATTTAAAATAAGTAATAATAATTACTTGTTTTATTTGTGTAATTCTTGGGGTGCTGAGTGAGAATAAAATTGAACAAATCCAGACACATTTTAAGATATATTTTATCTTATTTTAATACCAAATAAGTTGGCAGAACTACATTTGAAATGGGTTATCTTCTGCACAGTACAAATAACTTTACAGCAAACTAGCTCTAGATCTTGGGTTTGAGCCAAAACCAGGGGAGATGAAGGAGAATATTTCCATTGACTTTAGTGGTCTTTGGATTAGGCATTATAAATATGCACACACAAGGCATCATTTCTCTGCATATATATATACACACACACACAGCAGGACTCCATACACCTCGTAACAGTTAATATCCTGAAATGTAAAAAAGCTGTCACCTGAATAACCTGCAGTCAAAATGCTGGTCACTTAATCAAAAATAAACTGTCACCCTCAGACCACAGTCAGTCTCTGGGGATGTGAATGGCCTGGAGATGCTTTGTTTGTTTATGGATCTAATTTAGAACAGGTTTCTCTACTATTTAATTAGCGGGGTGCACTAATTAATCAACCGATATTAACTCTGCTCAACAAATGCTAAACTGTCGGGCCCTATTTCAAATCATGAGACCTGGCATTTCTTGAAAGCAGCAAACACTTTTCCCCAAGCAAGACAAGACAAGAAAATTCAGAAGATGGAGTACATTTGTGTAGCCTGGTATAAGCAATTATAAAAGCTCTCCTTTGCCAAAGATGAATGTGCAATCTCTGTCTAACCTGTAGTCAGAACTGCTGATGAATGAGCCCCAGAAGATGCAGAGTACATTGTAGAGTTTGCTATGCAATCAAAAGTTCAAATATTTATCTGGAAAACTTGGGGGGGGAATGCTTAACAAACATTTTTGCAGGAATCGACTTCCTTGTGAGAGCTACAGTCAATTGGACTGGAAATCTCAAGGGAATAGCAATACTGTGAGATTTCTGGTATCTTTTTGGGGATCAGAAATGGGTTTTTGTCACTGTGTTTGTACCTTTGTGTTTGGTCCAGGCTGAAACTCCAAAGAACAAGAGATTTAAAAATAAAACAAAACAAAACAAAACACTAAAAAATCAAAACACATCACACAAAAATTGTCATTTTTTAAAATGTAAACCATTTGTATGATTTTGCTCCAAAAAACAACAACCCCAGGCACTTTTTTCAACCTACTGCACCATGCTTTGCAAAGACTTGGTACATTGTTTTTTGAAGAGTTCATTTTAATAAAATCAAATTAACGAACAAAACAGTATGATAGAAAGGAAATCAAAGAATCACATGTATCATCACACCTAACCCTGAACCATTATTACAATTCCTTTTTAAGGACTCTCTTTTAAGAAATCACATTAGCTTTCAAGATTAAAATGTAAAACTGCTCTTCCCCTTCAAAAATAACAAATTTCAGAACATTCATGGAATGACTTACAAATTATTCCAGTGACTAGGGTCAATGTCTTAATAGGGTTGAAATCCATATATATTAATATGTAAACATACAAACACACACACAATTTATGTGGGTGTGAGTTTTTGTGTGTGTGCATGCTTTTCTGGATTTAGCTCAGTTGCTCAGCACTTTACAGGGTTTCACCCTTTAAAATGTAAACCAGTACAGGCTGGTACTAGTTGATTATTCAATACAAGGATTTCTTAAGCACCTCCTATGGTATC